CGTTGTCATGATTTCCCAAAATCAATATTGGAAAGCAAACAAAAATTTCGGCAGGATTCATTGATTAGAGTTGGTACTTTATAGGTTGGGTTTATGAACTTACAACTTTATTTCAGCATTTCTATTAGGTTGAATCGTAAAGGCCTGGAGTAGATGTTAACGGTTCGTCTCTATAAAATATTTTTGTAAATAAATTTTAAAAATACTATTTATACTCAACCGACCTATTGCCAGAATCTGAATAGTAATTTTTAACGGATTTCATAAGTTGATTTTAAATGCTATACATACATTTATTTATTTATTTATTTATTTATTTATTTATTTTATTTTCATTTAGAAATAGAACTTTTGTTTTTGATGGATTCAGACCATGCGCAAGCCAAAGTAGTTTGAAAATAGACTCGCTAAATAGTTCAAGCGACAAAACGCATGAGGAAAAAAGTGGAGAGACACAAGACGAATCTAGAAAAATGAGTGACAAGGTAGAATTTAATGCTTCTCTAAGCAAAGAATCTGATGAGGCTGAAATAGAAATGGCAGAACAACAACTTCTCTGCGATCTTGATCATCTTATGGGCACTTGTGTTCGCTTTAATCTGATAAACCACCTGTCTTGGCTTCATAGCCAGCTCTCAGAAACGATCAGTCTTACAAAGTCCAAAGATCAGTTATCCTCTAGGTCTATAAGTCAGAGTTCTCAGTTGATTGCATTTGAATCCTGCCATATTTGCCTGCAAGGAAAGAAGAAATGTAAGCATAATTTCAATGCCAATATTGATGAAGCAAATCAAGCCAGAATGATAGAAATTAACAAGGATCTTGAGTATTTTGAAGAAAACGGCATGAGCTTCTATTTCGAAAAAGCATTAAGAAATGAAGAAAAAGCATATTTTGCATTAGAACGAAGTAGAGAAGTTGCCATAACTATGCTACAATCAACTCCGCCGGAAGTCAATGAATTAATAATAAAGTACATGAAACGGGCTATTGAAAATATGAATAAAGACGAATATGAATCGACACTTGATAGAGTATCACGTAAAGTAAGTCTGCGTATTATAGGCAAGAGATTTTTTAATAATTTATTAGCAAGTAAGTAAAAAATTAATTTGGTATATAAGCTGGTACGAAACTCGAACATTAAACAATATCGTATTTTGTAGTTTTCCATAAATATCGAACAAAAAAGTTATTCAAAGGTATGAAAACCAAGATGCTGAGGCCTTTGTTATGGTCACAGTCTCCTAGAATGCTAATAATGGCAAGGCTGATTGACGATGACGACTACGATGTCGGCGAAACGTCTGGAAAGGTACCAAGTCCTCAGTCCGAGCTGGGAAAATATCATGCATAGTATGGGCTCCGGACAAGGTGCATTCCTTTATGTCTTCCTACAAAAATGACCAAGTTGCGAAAATAAGGTTAATCCTAATAAAATCTGTCAAAGTTTACTCACATTTTTGGCTTTTCATTGAAGCATCGTGATAAAAAGAACTTTTATTAAATTAAGGTCTTTGGAGAGACTTTCATTTCGCATGAAATTACATGAAGAAGACATTCGAAGGTCAATATTGCCAGAAGAGTGAAAATCGGCTGAGCTTTCGTCTATCATATGACGGACATCATCAGAGTTGGAAATATTTCAAGAAGAATATCCAACTCTAGTTTGGTTGATGAGCTTAATCTAACATGTTTGACGAGTGTGAGTGAAGTTAGGACCATCACTGAGCGGACAAGTTGAGTCTTTTTGGAGAGTCAATAGCCTCTCTTATCTTCCTTTTAACAGCATACATGTCATAATCAGCAAACATGCTCGTTTGTGACCATTCTACCTGACGTGCAGTCTCTTTAATGTGTTGTGAATAATAGAGGAAGTGTGAAGCATAATATCTCACATGTTTAGGGTATAAAACTATGAAATGCTGTTGACTTTTGGCTATATCTAATTTTAAAAGCTTATGAGTTTGTAAAGTTGATTGAGCATCAGATACTTTCGGAGGAGGATAGGCTAGTCAGTTTTAATGACATGTCTGCGTACACAAATATTCCTGTTCAAGCAGCCATTCAGGCTCGAATGCAAACTCTAGGAGAAGATCCAGAGAATATGCAAGAAGTAAGGTTGAGTATAGCCTCCAAGGATATAATTCTTTACCTACTCATGAGTAGCAGCTATTTTACCTTTGATAGTAAATATAATGAACTGCCACAAATACTTGCTATGGGATCCTGCTTAGCTCCTATCTTGGCAAACAACTTAATGGCCGAACTTGAAGAACACTATTTGGAACAGACAATACCAACTCCTAAATTGTGGGTTAGATGCATGCATGACTATTCCGTCATCTGGCCTCACGGTAAGGACAGTTTAGATAGTTTCCTACTTTCACTCATTGGGTTCACGATGGAAATGGAATAGAATATATCCTTACCTTTTCTGGATGATCTCCTCATTAGAGAAGAGGGTAAGTCAGAAATATATGTTTATAGGAAGCCAACATATGTTGGCTCTTTGCTTAATTTTCTTTTCAACCATAGTTACAAGATTACGCTTGGAATTTTGAAGTCGATGATTCTTAGAAGTATGAGGCTAGTGGATAGCAACCTTTGACTAAAGAGTTGGAACGGCTGACAAATTTATTATTGGAAAATTAATATCCTTTGTGCCTCATTGAGAATAATATTTCACTACTGAGGAATAAATTTTCAGACGAAGACAATTTAGTTCAAGGAGCTATTGAAGCTCTGATACAAACTCTGGAGAAGCATCCAGAGATAACACAAGGAATGAGGTTGAGTGTGGCTTTCATTATTAGACTTATCAACCTATCCATGAGTACCACATATTTTACTTTCGATGGTCAGTTATATCTGAATTGTGGGTTAGATACATGCATAACTATTTTGTCATCTGGCCTCATGGTGAAGATAGTTTGGATAGTTCCCTAATTTCACTCAACCAGCGTGAAATGATGTGGTATCTCCCCATTCTGTCCTGGCCTATTCAACTTTCCCATATCCTCGTATCACACCTTCACTATCATAATTTTTCTTCTCATAGCCCATTTAAATGTTGGGTTGTATGCCCTTTCGGGCGGCTTTCATGAGAACCCTCCACACTTTACGCTGGCGTTCTCACCCCCCCTTAACCCTTGTCCTGAGAATGCAGATCAGAGTCTCTCTCTTGCCCCGAAGGACCCGTCTGCTCTCTCTCTCTCTCTGGATCAAGTACTTTACTCGAGCCATGTCCCCCATCTGTGTTACTCGAGGCGTTATGACCCATTCCTTGCGTCTGGGTGATTAATTCGGGGCTAAGGCCTGTGACCTATTCTCATGGTCAAGCCTTTGCTGTATGAAACACGTCTACGGCAAAACAGGCCTACTATCAGCCAACTAGCTCTAGTGACTACTGCATATATCCTGTTTCTATCTCTAATACCAAGTCCACCACTTTCTATGTCCCAATCTCTTGTGCGCCAACCCACAAATGTTGTCGTTCAACCTTAAACCTAATCAACGCAAACCGTATCACAACATTTGTGAGTTGGCCCACAAGAGATTGGGACATAGAAGGTGGTGGGCTTGGTATTATAGATAGAAACGGGATAGATGAGATAGCAACTAGAGTTAGTTGGCTGACAGTAGGCCTGTTTTGCTGTAGACATGTTTCATGACCATAACAATTGGTCACAGGCCTTAGCCCCGAATTGGTCACAGGCCTTAGCCCCGAATTGGTCACCCAGACGCAGGGAATGGGTCATAACGCATCGAGTAGCAGAGATTAGGTGGCATGGCTCGAGTAAAGTACTTGATCTAAAGAGAGAGCAGACGGGTCCTCCGAGGCAAGAGAGAGACTCTAATAAGACAGACTCTGATTTGCATTCCCAGGACAAGGGTTAAGGGGGGTGGAGTGTGGAGGGTTCTCATGAAAGCCGCCCGAAAAGGCACATAACCAAACATTTAAATGGGCAAGGAGAAGAAAAATTCTTATTATGAAGTTGTGATACGAGGATATGGGAATGTCGAATAGGCCAGGACAGATGGGAAGATACTACAACTGTTTAGCACACATTTGGTTGAAGGATCGTCTTCACTCATCTCTTTGACGAGTTGTTGTGTGGTGCTAAGACTGGCAAGACGCACGGACGATGCCGGCGAAACGTCTGGGAATGTACCACGTCTACGGTCCAACTTTTAGAATGATACGGCATACAATGGACTCCTGACTTGGTGCGTTCCTCTACGTCTTCCTAACAATATGAACAAGTTGCGGAAACGAGGTCAAATTTATTCTGTACAACCACAGGAGACTGCAACCACACAAAGACCCCACCATCTTGGTCCTCATACCTTCGAATAAAGCTCAATATTTTCTGCCATAAAAATAACTGAGCGCAGGTATAATTCATAAGTTAAGATGATTAGTTGAAATTAAATAAAATGAATAATGAATCTTCACTAATTCAAAAATTATAATAAGCAAATAAATGATTACACTAAATTTGTCAATTAATCTAAACAGTTACAACGTTTACTTTCATCCACATACACTTTTTAGCAATAACAGCTTAGCTCTTTATTTCATGCATCTTTTTAGCTAGATTTGGAGCCTTACTTCAAATATATTCTAATTTTTTTGCTAAATTTTGATTCGTTTAGTGTCAAAACCTCAAATATAACCATCTCATCTAATGACAAATTTCTGCTTTCTGACCCACTCTAGTCTGACATGACCTGTATTACAATTTTCGGATCAATCCAGCCACGATCCAGCACACGGATACACTTTTATATTTTCAATGAATGTCTTGGTTACTTGAAGTTGAATTCCT